GTAACGTTTCGGCGAAAGGCCCCGGCGTAGTGATGGCGCTCGCAAAAATGCGGAACACGTCTTGTCTGGGCCCTGTCGCAACGGCAGCGGCGCCCGCGGAACGCACCGGCTGGGACGAGCGAGCAGCAGTCGCCAGCGCTGCCACCGCATTGCGAGACAAAGCCGGCCGGGCGCCACCGCTGTCAGAGGCAACGGACGCGAACGACGAAGGAGTGCTTCAAGAATTGGCAGTGCCCCACTCAGGGCCCCCGTCGCCTGACTGCACGGTCCGCTCTACGGACGCGAGTGGAAGATTGGACGGGGCGCGTTTGCGGGCTTGTTCCCGCCTGCGCTTACGCCAGTAGGCGCGTTGCTCTTCGACCGTAGCGAAGCGACTGTTTGAGCGACCTCTTGCTGTTGCAGCGACAGTGCCAGGCGCGACGGTTGCAGTCGGGCGCGGCGCAACACCTCGGCTGTCCCGGGTCGCCGCCTGCGGGCCCGCTTCCAGCGACGTCGCGCCAGTCCCCGCAGCCGCGGAGCCCTGCCACGAACGGGGCGCGTCCGACCCTGGCACGTCGAAGACGCCGCAGAGAGGGTCGAGCTTGCCGCGGCGGCTCTCCGGGTGGGAACTCGGCGTCGACACCGCGAGCAGCGGTCGAAGCGATCGGTTTCTCGAACTTAAGACCCGCGCGCCCCCGCAGCGCGCGATCGGCGCGCCCCTCGCACTGTGGACCGTCTGCGAGTTGAAACCAACGAACGCGCCGAGCCGAACGGCGCCCTGGAGTTTGCCCGCCCGCGCGGGTTCAGGGATATGGCGCAAACACTTGCGCTCCCAAGGTCGCCATTTATTTGCATTGCTACTGCCCTCGAGTGCTCCTGGGATCACTCTGCGCTCGCGCCCTGGCGCGGCCCAGGGGGCGTCGCTGAGCAAGGCGTCGGCGCGCGCCAGATCTCCCCCCAAGAGTTCCTTCGGGGCCGCTGCCTGTAAGCGCAGGGCCCGAACGATTTCGAATAACTCTTGGATGCGCCTCTCGGCGACGCCGTTGGCCAGCGACCCATGACCGCCGGCGTCGGCGCGGGAGAGACCGCGCCCCCGGAGCCGCCGGCCCACCCCCCCCTTCAAGGCCATGCCTCCGCCCGAGTGGGATCGCCGCGACCTTCGTTGATCGAGCTTGCAATCGACCATCGCGCCCCGCGCCGTTTTGGATTCTAGCCGTTTTCCGTCTCGAGGCTGGGGGGCGCGTCGAGCGGGCGGGCGTTCATGGCGCGCTTGAAGTCCCAACCTGCCAGAACGTATCCTTCGCCGTCCGAACCCGCCGCCGCCGCCAGGGGAGACTCCGAAGTGGCGCTGTTGATCCCGAGGGTGATGTCGGGAGTGGAAATTCGGAGCGCGTCCTTAGAAAGACGCTCCAAAGTATCCTTCGTTTTGTAGTTGGTCTTTTGTGCGTTCATCAACTGTTGTGCCATCTGTTTGAGTGCTGCCGTGCATGCCGCGGACTGCTGCGCTGTCGGCGCCGGTTCGGATCTGGCTGCCTCCTTGGCCAGCGCGCCGGCCCCGGTCCAGCCGCATTTCCGGCCCCCCTCGGTCTCGAAGCCGGGAGGCGCGGGCGCGGGCGCCTCGGCGCCCCGCCTTCTCCAAAGCCTGTCCAGTTGTTTTTGGCGTCGCCTTTTCGCGCGTGCCCCTCCCCAGGTTGTCCTTTTCCTGCCCTGGGCCCCGCCCCGGGGAGCGCTCCAGAATCCTCGCGCGGGCCTTCGTTGCCCCGGCGTCGCGGCCGATGTCAGATGCGGCGCGCGCCCTTCGGCGAGGACTTGCTCGGGTTGTTGCCGGCGCGGTTGGATTTGAAGGGCGGCGACGCCCGTTGAGGTAGAATAGACATGGGATTCAAGTTTGCTGATATTTGCCCATGCGGCCGTTGAATGTGTTATCGTATTTGCGTTTGGCCTTGTCTGTTCTTTCGGCTTGCCTGTCGGCGCGCAGCGCTTTCGCCGGTGCCTTTGCCTTTGCGAAGAGGACGCCTCTTCAGCCCAGGGCCCTGCTTTGGCCCCGCCATTTTGAAAATGGCGCCTGGGTTGTCCGGGGGGGGCATCTCCACGATTTCAAGCAGGGTTCGCAGGGCCCCCAAGTTGCTTAACAACTGTCGCAAAGACCGCCGCCGTAGCTCAGAGTGCTTGGACGGCTCAAAGTTGCCGGCGCGAAGTTCGCAGAGTTTTGCCTGCCGCGCATTCAGAGCGGGTTGGAGCTTTCCGCGGTTTGCGACGGGCGCTGGTGACGCAAGTTTGCCGTGCAGAGTTGCGGCGCGCGCCGTGGCCGAGGCCATGATGGCGTCGTTCCTTCAGATCCACATGGGGGTGGCGGAGGCGGGGGGGCGATCAAACCGCCGCTGAGTGAGCCAAGGGGTGTTCAAAACACAACCAAACACGCTCAAAACACAACCAAACGCACGCGGCTGCACAACAATGCGCAACGTCCATGGATGCCGCTATGGAGGAGGGCCGCCACGCGAGACCATTTCGACGCAGC